GTCCAAAATAACGTAAGCCCAGCTATTTTTGAGAATTCACAGACTGAGAAAGAATCAGAATGATCATCGAATAAACTTTGATCAGAGTTACGGGAGGGGGTTTCAGGCACTTCTCATGTGTTGCCCATTTTGAGATAACATTTGCAAGGGCTTCCCTGGTGGCTCAGACAGTAAAGACTCTGCCTGAAATGCAAGAGACTCCAGTTCAATCCCTGGGTCGGAAAGATGCCTTGGAGAAGGCAGTGGCAACCCACTCCAGTATTCTTGCCTGGAGAATTCCATGGACAGAGGAGCCTGGTGGTCTACAGTCCATGGGGTCCCAAAGAGTTGGACATGACTGAACAATTAACACACTGTGTTACAGTCCTATAACACATTGGCACAGGAACTGAGGCACGAGCTGACCAGTCAAGAAGCGGGCCTGATTTTCACCAGCTATTGGTGGACTCTACCTTCTCCCCCAAGTCACCTTATGTGAGCTTTATGCCTATTGGGTGATGAGCAGTACAAGCCCAGAGTCCACTTTTCCTCCCCAAACCTGTTCTCCAAACCCTGGATTGCTCCAGAGTTATTCTTGTATAGCGTTGCCTGAGCTGAGACTCTCTTTTGTGCAAGTGTCCTCACATAGATTTTCAAAGAAATTCCATTAGCTCTTTGATGTTTACCCGTTTCATGACCTGCAAGGCCTAGAGTAACCTGTGAACCAGTCTCAGTACATACATCTGGTTACATATATGTAACCAGTCTCATACAAATCATCTTTATCCACTGCTTCCCTGATTCCAAAATCATTTCCTTCAGAAACCTGGATTTCTATGCTTCTGCCAAATGAAGGAGACAAGAGGGATCCTGACTGCTTCCCATCTCACGAGGGTGAATGTGAGCCCTGGTAGAATCTGCACCTGTCTTTCACCATGACCGTGGTCTGCTGTGCACCTGATTGATGAGGCCAGGGCCACAATACTGGACCCAAATATGTCCTTCAAAGATAGCCTGTTTGTTTGTTTGTTTGTCTGTTTTTGCATGGGCACGTACTCACTGCTTGCTGTGTCTACTCCGGGCACTCTATTCTTCTCAAGTTAAGAAGTCCTCCTGGTCTATTTTCCCTTTCAGGTTGGAAACAGCATCAGTGAGCAATGTTGCAGGCCAAGAAAGGATGCTGCTTGGTTGGTCCACTGTGTGACAGCCAGGACCTAGGATTCGAGGATTTATGGAGTGTTCAGTGTGGCGAAGTTTATGAGCAATGCGTTGTGCCAGGGAAGACACAATTGTTTTGGATGAAAATACTCATTCTACACATAGCAATGCCTCAAAGATACCTGGCAGTTGGGGCCACAACAAATGAGAATAAATGGGCACTCACAGCTACTCCCCAAATGGCTTCTTATACTTACTTTCCTGCGCCTCCTCACTCTACTCCATCATGCTCCTCCTCACTTTTACCCTGGGTTGTGGTGAAGTCTGAAGACAAAAGACTTCCCCAAGGCTGGGTGGAGCCCCAGGTGTCCTGGTGATGATGCAGCCTGTCTGCCATTTTCATGTAACAGTCTGGGCTTTAGACTTGGCCCATGCTGGGTCATTTGCTGGGCAGTCACTAACCAACCAGGTTTCCCTAGCAACTTGCTTCTGGTGACTGATCCCAAGTTTCTTCCTCCATAAACTTGTCCTAGTGGCACTTACCTTGCCAGACTGTTGCAAAAGTTAGAGACAATGTATGAAAACAGCAGTCAAAGTTTCTGGCACAATTTAGGCACTCAGGAAATGGCAGCTGCCCCTCTTGCCATGTATGGAGGACTTTTGGGCTATTTACCCCTGAGTTCCCTAAACAGCTAGCTTTTCCTAGGACCCAGAAATTCAATCCACTTCAGAGGCATCTTGGCAGCTGAAAGTGCAGCTTCTCCACTCACTTTGTGGAGACTCCATTGGGGTGGGGTAGGCTTAGGTTGCTGATTTATGAACACAAAGCAAGAGGCTCCCAGCCTGTGTCCTCTCTGGATACTGCTCAAAGCTGAAAGAAGTCACAGAACTGAAACAATGAGTAGTCTCTTTTGCTCACCACCTTCCAGAGGCCCCCTTCCCTGCCTCTCCCTCAGCCCTGTCATTCATTTCACAGCCAACAGAAATCCTGCCCTTGTTCAGTGTTCACCTGAGCAAATGCAGATTAACTCTTTGCAGTACCAATGTAGTGTGTTGGGAATGGGGAGGGGTGGGAGACTCACTAAACTTCCAGGCCAAGGTGGGGACTGAGCCTGGGCCATTTGTTGCTCCCTTCCTGGGCTGGGGAAGGTCACCCATTCCTTGGCACAGCCCCATGGAGCCTCCTACCCAAGACCTTTCAGGATTCCAGCAATCATATCTCTTATAGTACAGCTTGTGGTGTACTCCCACCCTTTTCTCCCTTTATCCTGGGCACTGCTGATTCCCTGACTGAATTCACTTCTTGGACCATACTTGCAAATAGCCATTTTAGACTTCTGGATGATTATTCCCACCAGGGCCAAAGAAAACCTGGACAGGTTTTGGAAGGACACTATTTCTTTCCCTGAGCGAGCTGGCACTTCCTGCAAAATGGGGATGCTGCTGGTGTCACTGACCTGACAGAAATTCTGTGTGACAAGCCCCCAGTACAAAGGAGATGCTCAACAAATCTTTGCCCTGCAGGTTTTCCCACTTACTGCTGCCACTTACTGCTGCTAAGGGGTTATGCTTCCTACTTTTGTCTTTGCCAGCAGGCTGATGTCTGTGGGTCCCTAGGCCTTTGCCAGAAAGTCATTTGCTAGCTTACCCTGGCCCCAGTGACTTTACCTTGCACACAGGTGGAAGCAGGGTAAGTCTGCCTGAGGCAAAGAAAGAAGAAGTGCCCTGGCCATTCTTCTGTGTGTGACAGCTGCTCCCTCTGAGACCCAGGAGGCCAGGTGAGGCACTCTTTCTTAGTGCTCCCTACTAGGGGACTTAGCTCTTACTGTGTTTAGCTCCATGGGCAGTATAGTTGTCCTTGGGAGTGGCCAGACCTTCTTATGCATGTAGCTGATTTGAATATGAGGGATGACTCCCACCTCTCCAGATGTGCTGCAGGGCAAGGCAGAGGATTCTGAAGCCCCTGGTGATAGAATGGATGGGAACAGCATTGAACTCCTTAGCATAGGGAGGAAAGGAAGTGTGAAAGCTCTGGAGGTGGAAAGAAACCTGATACCACAAGACTTCCTACACCATGGGCCACCATGCCAGGTAGCCCTCTGGACTTAATACACTGGCTGAAGGAGAGAATCAAAGTGTTAACTCTGCCCTACTGCTCCCCTCCCCTGCCAACACACACATGCAGACACACACACACACACACACACACCTTTAAAACAACCTGTGCACCTTAACAAGGCAGCTCCTCAGAGAGGTACCAGTTTACCTTTCAGAGAGCCCACAGATCAACTCCTTTCTTTGGTTTTTAGAAGCTCTGCTTTTAAGAAGCCTTTTTCTTTTCACTATTCCAGGATTAGTATTATTATTATCCATTTTTGGCCTCATTAAAATTAGTCATAACTCCTACCCTTTGGGAATCTAGCCCCTCCTCCTCTCTTCCCCATCTCATTCCTTTTTCTCCACTTTCCCCATGACATGACCCTAATAAGAATTTGTGCTCAGTTGCTCAGTCGTATCTGAGTCTTGTCGACCCCATGGACTGTAGCCTGCCAGGCTCCTCTGTCCATGGGATTTTCTAGGCAAGAATACTAGAGTGGGTAGCCATTCCCTTCTCCAGTGGATCTTCTCTACCCATGGACCAAACGAACCCAGGTCTCCTGCGTTGCCAGCAGATTCTTTGTGGTCTGAGCCACTGCAGAAAAAATTTGTTTCTTCCCCAATGTTCATGCTGCCTTTAGTGCCTCAATATTTACTCCTTTCCTCATCTCCAATATTACTTTCAGACCTCAGGTTTTCACTAACCAAGAATTTTCTGACAGTCCCATCTTTTTAATTTCTGTAGTACCATACAATATCCTTTTGCCTACAACCACCCCTTTCCCCTCTGCCCTCCTCTCAAACTGATTTAAATGCATTTTCTATTTCCACAGCACCCTGTGATGTGTCCTTCCCTTTTCTATTGCCCCTTCCCCCAAGTTGGGTTAAGTTTCAAAAAAATACCTAATACACAATCTTTTCATAGTATGCTCTAATGCCCCTTTCAGACTCCCCCAAGCTTATTTAAGCATCTCTTGGATTTTCATAGCACCCTATGATGTCCTCTTTCCTGTCCCATCGTCCAATAGAGGTCACATAAACTTTTATACATTTTCATGGTACCCAAGGCTCACTCCCTATTACAGCGTTTACCACACTGCCAGTTTACATATTTGTCTCTCTCACATAATCTAGAACATTCTTTAGAACTGAGAGCTGTGCCTCATGAGTATCCCCAGAACCTACATTGGTGCCTCACCCATAACTCGTGGCCAATAAATGGACAAAGTGTCCTCATCACTAAGCTTTTATTTTTTTTTCTATATTCTGCAGTAACTATACAAAATCGAGATGGTTGTCTGTATTCTTTACACAACAGGAGACACAAAGGTTTCAGAAAGGTAGGACATAAAATAATTCTCTCATTCTTCTCTCACAATTTACCAGTTATATCATCACTTTTAAGAGCAGCCTATTTTAATGATAGAAAATATGTGCCTGATCATAGAATATAATGGATAGGCTTCATTTTAAAACGTTAGCAAAACTGTTATACTAAATCTCAATGACAGAAAATAAAGGAAAATATCTTTGCTTCAATCATATTTTAAAACATATTGTGATCTTAATCAACACTGTATTAAACTGAATAAAACTTACAATGTTTAAAGTAAACGTTCTATTTCTCAAACAATTTGATGATCACAAGTACGAAATACAGTGCCCCCCTCCCCATTATATTCAACTCAGGACCCAAATGATCTACCTCTTGGGGAGTACCTTAGAAGCTATTTCCAACCCCCCTCATGAGTGTGCTGCATATTTCCCTAAGGGGCAGAATAACCTCTTGCACCTGAATTGAGGATAGCCTCAACTTCTGCATCATCATCAGAATCCCAATCGTAATTACAGGGCCAGTCCTTGGAGCATCGGTTACGCACCCTTGCCACAAAGTGCATGACTTTCAGCTTGCTTGATTCCACGTGTGCTCTAGGTCCCCAGAAGAACTCGTACTCCACGGGGCTGCTACGGGGCACCGGCTTATAAATCAGGTACCCTCTGCGCACAAACTCTTCTGTAACGACCTTCTTTGGATCTCCAAAGATGCTGTGCTGCTGGCCAGGCTGCATCCCCAACTTTCCTAGCACTTTCCAGACCAGGGCCTCCTTGGCGCTGTTGCCCATGATGAAGATGAGGGCTAATATAGACATCAGGAGGCTTTTCTTGGTGCCTTGAAAGTTGCTCCGGGCTACCGAGGGCTTCTGCGCTTGAGCAGTGCTCAAGGATTCCTCAGGAGTAGTGGAGGTCTCCTCTGGAGTGCTTGGGTCGTCCTCTGGGCAGCTCAGGTCGTCCTCCGGGGTGCTCGAGACCACAGAGGCGGCCATCGGGGTCTCAGAGGTTTCTGAGGCCTGAATCTTACGACTGTTGCGGTTCTCCTCTGCGGCCCTTGCGTTACGGCGACGCCGGCTCTTTCGTCCCCGTGGCATGTCTTCTACTAAGGGTACGGAGGCTATAGAAATCCTAGAGTAAGATGCCTGCAGAAAGCAGCTATCTCTACTTTAAACGGGGCCCGCCGCTGAAGCCACCAACATCCGTAGAGTCTTTGTAACAACAAGCGAGACCTTCTCAGCAAACAAGCTAACACCCACGTAAGCCGACTTGCCGGAGCAACCGCCCCCAGCGCTCGCCCCAGCAGCAAAGCACGAGAAAGCAAAGCTGAATTGACTCCGCCTAACCTGCCACGCAATCTCCAAACACAAAAAGGAAGTGGGCGGTTCGTTCAGGCAGACTTCCGCTGTCAGATAGAAGAACGGACAAGCCAAGGCAGGGGTGGGACTAAAGCAGAAAAGATGGTTTGGGATTGGCGAGGGCTGGGGTATGCAACGAGAAATAAATATATTAGTCTTCCTTCATCTTTCAGTCTTGTACGAGATTGGTTGGCAGGGTGTATATGAGACAGTGTGGGAGGCGCATGAGTGTATTCTTGGAAGGAATCAGCTAGTCCCAGCGCTCCTTTCCTGTCTTGTAAAGTGTCTATAATTCCAGGTTCAGAGCTTTAAAGTGTTATATATTCACGAGATTATCAAGCAGGGCACTGACAGAATCAGACTTGCATTTGTACAGCCACAGAGGAGCAGACAATTGTCTGGCAGGTCATTTAGGAAGTATTTAGAATAAGAAGCAGGGGAGAATGAAAGTGAGCCTTCAGGCGGTTGCCATGGGGATGGAAAGACAGAAAGACGTTTTAAAGGTGATCATTGACAGGCTTTAGAAACTGACTGGATGAAAGTGGTGAATACGGAGTGGGTGGTGGAGTTCAGGTTGGCTCCAAGGTTTCTTTGCTCCCGTCTACCTGAATACCTAACTTATTTTTCTTCTTTCTTTCATTCTGTTATCCAAATACAATTCAAAGCATACTCTGAATTTTATCCATTTCAGGTCAGTGAAACAGTGGATCACTGTTTCCTCTGCATGAATTGACTTTTCTCTCATCTCCAACTACCTAAATTCCAACTGCTTGCTCAGAGGGCTCTTCCTCTATGAAGCTCCTCTTCATCTGTGCAAAAGAGTAATGAACCCGTTTTTGCTCTCTATAGCAAGCACTCTGTACCTTACTTATGTCTTTCTAAGGATATTATTTTGCACAAGTCACTTGACTTCTCTGAGCCTCCATTTCCTCACCTATAAATTGGGTTAATTAAAGTACCGGTGGTTTCATAGGGTTGTGGGAATTAAATGAGATAATAAACACAAAGCACTTATCACACAAAAAGCACAGCCTATGTCTCTCTGGTGTTTCAAGCAGTGTGTGAGAGCAGAATTTAATAAACAAATGAATGCTGAAAGAATACATGACAAGGGAGATTTTGCCCATGTTTTCACCTGAATTTTTTAAAAGTAAATGAATATTTATAACTGGCTGGAAGAGATTAAATGTTTGCTTGACAAGATTTCAGATTGTAATTGCAAAGCAGGAAGGGACTCTAACTCTCCCCCTGATATGCCCTAACCCTTGATAGAGTTGGTGGGATAGGATATGACTTCACCCAGTGAATAAGTTCATGAGTGGGAAAGTGTGTCCCTTTAAGAAAGCAGAATTGCCAACTGCATCTCACCCAGCAAGGTCCAGTCCTCTATACATGTGTAGAAAGGGTATGCCTGGTATTGAAGAACAAACATTGAACCCAGACATGGGAACGTGAGTTCTGGCCCAGCACCTGTCACTTACAAGCTTCATGAGTTTACCTAACATCTGTGTTCTGTGACTTGTCCTCTGAACAAGCAGGAAAGGTAATCACTCTGGCTTTGGATGTGAGGCTTCTTGTCAGGCTCTCTGCAAATCCAACAGCATATACGGGCGACCCTGAGTTAGAGCAGTTTCCTCTGAGTTTGGTTGTTTCTTCTTTGTATGTTTTATATTCATTTGTTTTGTGTTTGCAATTTGTGAATCTGTGTGACCAGAGTATTACAAAACCACCCATATTGTTTCAAATAGCTTCTCCATTCTGATGTTTTTGTTGTTCAGTCACTCAGTCATGTCTAACTCTTTGCTACCCCATGGACTGCAGCATGCAAGGCTTCCCTGACATTTACTAATTCCCAGAATTTGCTCAAATTCATGTCCATTGAGTTGATGATGCCATCCAACCATTTCTTCCTCTGTTGCCCACTTCTCCTGCCCTCAGTCTTTCACAGCATCAGGGTCTTTTCCAATGAGTCAGCTCTTCACATCAAATGGCCAAAATATTAGAGCTTCAGCTTCAGTCCTTATAATGAATATTCAGGGTTGATTTCCTTTAGGATGGACTGGTTGGATCTCCTTGTAGTCCAAGGGACTCTCAAGAGTCTGCTCCAATACCACAGTTCAAAATCATCAATTCTTTGGTGCTCACCCTTCTTTATGGTCCAACTCTCACATTACTACATCACTACTGGAAAAAACACAGCTTTGACTATATGGACATTGTAAGCACAGTGATGTCTTTGCTTTTTAATACACTGTCTATGTTTGTCATAGCTTTTAGTTGAAGGAGCAAGCAACTTTTAAAATCACAGTCTGCAGTGATTTTGGAGCCCAGGAAAATAAAGCATGTAACTGTTTCCATTTTCCTCCCTCTATTTGCCATGAAGTGATGGAACCAGATGCCATGATCTTAGTTTTTTGAATGTTGAATTTTAAGCCAGCTTTTCAAATTTTTATTTATTTTTAATTGAAGAATAATTGCTTTACAGAATTGCCTTGGTATCTACCAAACATCAACACAAATCAGCCATAGGTTTACCCATGTCCACTCCTACTCTCCTCTTTCACCTTCATCAAGAGGCTCTTCAGCTCCTCTTTGCTTTCTACCTTTAGGGTGGTGTCACATGCATATCTGAGGTTACCCATAGTTCTCCTTTCTGATGGAAATGGAATCCAGCAAACTTATTTTCTTCCAAGAGTCACTCTCTAACTCAAGTTTTCTTTATACCCAGAGCCTACCAAGACCTCTTCTTGGTGACTGCTCTCCATAAACCAACTTGAGGCAGTGTATGCTTGTCTGCTCACTAACCAGTTGAATGAGGAGGGGGTACCATTTCCCTGACACTCCATTCAGCTTAGTGAACCTTTGCTCCAACCTGAAACAATGAGAAGGCAACTCTGTACAGCTCCTGGGTAGATCAGAGCCTATGCTTAAGCAGAGCACAACCTCGGGCTGCAGCTCTTAACAGCTTTCCTAAAAGGAACAGGCTTTAAGTTGTGAGCTACTCAGTGTTCCCAAAAGCTTAACAGAAATCACATTTATGTAAGACAGGCCACGGAGGTTATTAGTCAAGAAGCACAGTGTTTTTAATAGCAAGAATATTGCCAGGCATGATATTAACAGGAGGAAATCATAAAACCATGCCTTGGGACATTGTGGACCACAGGTCTGTCTGGAGTAAGTAGCACATGACAAAAGAAGGGCAGTGACTTGTGAGGGCCTGAGAAGTACAAAGAGAGGAGGGAGGCTAACATTGCTGTGGTAAGCTATGTGCCTAAACTATCTCCAAACTGGAATCTTTATAGCAACTTTCAAATACCAGTGAACCTAGAGAGAGATTAATTCTCCTTTTGAATGTCAGTATTGGGGCTCACACTTTCAGATTTCTAAGTTCCACCTGCTGCCAATAGCGTACCTCACAACTGCTCCAGATGAGTGCACATTTGGTGGTGCAAGGAGGCTTAACACAAAAGGAAGTGTTGTTGATCCCTTGGGATAGGAACAGAAGGGAAAGAGATGAGAAAGGGGACAGATGTGTGGAAGGTGAAGGCAAGGATCCTTACACACCTTGCTAGGTTTTCTATACTTGGCTTCACCTCTTCCAAGCTGTGTCAAGTCCAGCACATTATTTAACCTTCATAGGCCTCAGTTTCTCCATCTATGAACAAGCATATCACAGTGGTATTGTGAAGATTAAAGGGAAATAGCTCATGCAAGATGAGGTAGGTTGATAATTTCTCCCTAGTTCTCAAAGATGTCCACATCCCTATCCCCAGAATCTGTGAATATGCTACTTTATATGGCAAAAGGGAATTTTGCAGGTGTGATTAAGTTCAGGATCTTTAGAGGAGGTTTATCTGGGACCCAAGGTAAACACAGAGTCCTTACAGAAGGAAGACAGCAGGGTTAGATTCAGTAAAAGACATAAGGGTGGAAGCAGAGATCAAAGAGGAGAGAAGATGCTACATTCCTGGCCTTGTAGATGGAGGAAGAGTGTATGAGCTAAGGAATGTAGGAGGCCTCTAGAAGCTGGATCAGACAAGGAAGTGGATTCTCCCCTAGAGCCTCCAGAAGGAACACAGACCTGCAGGCACATTTTAGACTTCTGACTCCCAAAACTCTAAAATAATAAATTTGATTGCCTTAAGCCATTAAAGTTGTAGTACTTTGTTACATCAACAAAAGTAAACTAATGCATAAGGCATATGTGTACCTCACTCCTCAGGAGTGCCTAATGAATAAGAACTATGATTACTGTTCAGGTGAATTTATATTATTGCCATACTTTCAGTGAAATTATTGGGAGGGACTAGAGAGGGTTACGACACTGGACTGGATACCTTGGCAGTAATTCTTGTGGGTTTCAACGCACCCTGTTCTTCCCTGGGGTTGTTTAGTAACCATCCTATTCCAGACATTGTCCTGGCTGTAGTCTCAGTTTCCTTAGGCATTGCTCTCACCTGGGTAGACATCACCATAGTCACGACCTGGTTGTAAGTGCTGGGGGTAGGATAGAGATGGAAATTCAGGGGTCACCCACACCACTCCTAAGCTCTAACTAATCATCTTTCAGTTGCCTGTAGGTCCTGCTCTGATTTTTGCAAGTGCCTCCCAAGGGCAGAGAGGGCACTTGGGCCAGTTACTTCATTTACAACAACACTTTAACAGACTACAGGCCACTACTACTTGAACAAGTGAGTCTGACCCCATCTGATGGCTCTCTTTCAAGGACTCCGCACTAT